AAAAAAAAAGGAGGATTGGCATTGGATGTTAGCTCAGAGCTGGTCCTCCTCACACACACACACAAAAAAAAGAATCATTTGGGGGAAGTGGGAGATTCCACTCAGGGATAAAGAGAAGGGATGGGGGGTCCCGACTTTGGTAAAAACCTGGTAATTTCTCACTACTAGTCAACATGCAGCGATCTTATCCTGTCCTAGGAACATCTTTCTTAAAATGTTGGTTACCTGATTACAGAATGCTAATGTTAGAAGGTCTGTTCCCTCCCGGTCCCAAAGCAGAAGCTACTTTCCATTCATGGTGATGGCCCTTGTTTCATTGTGCGATTTGTGTCAATGGGGAAGTACAAACAGGATTACTTTTCCATCTGACAGGCCCAGGCAGCTGGTGAGAACAGCGCTTGTGTCATCAGCCAGACTGCGCTGTCTGGAGCCTGGCCAGTGCCTGTGCGCCAAGGCAGCTCTTGAAGCCTTAATCCTCCTTCTTATAGCTTGTACACGCCCTGACTCCTGCCCCTACAATTTGCCAAGTGGGGCTCGATCACCTTAGATTCGGCCCTGCAGCTTGCCTTGAACCAGGCAACCCAAGGCAGAGATGAGCCAGCCTTCCAGCTAGGGGAGTGTAGGCATACTCAAGTCTGTCTTCCAATGGAGAAGACCAGGCCTACAAAGACCTTGCAGCCAGGAGGACCAGGAGCTGGGCCGAGGCAGGCCACAACCCACTAATCAGAATGCCAGTCTCTTTGCTTTAGAAACCAATCGGCAGGCCCATTAAATTAGGGATGCTGAGAATTCTGCACTATCTTTTCCCTGGGAATCCTGCCAGCAGCTGGAGGGATGAGCAGCTCAGGTACAGTAAAAGGTTCCATTGTTACATACAATGTATATAACATCATGGTGCTGATGATTAAATCTGGGCAGATGGATTTGTGAATTTAAAATGTTCCTGTAATGGGCACGCAGTAAAAACCACAATAAAACTTTGATGTGGACAAGACCAAAATTGCTGGGCTGAAACATATTCTAGCAGGGGCAGGCTAATTTTTCCTATAAAGGGCCAGAGAGTAAATATACTCAGTTGTGCGAGACAGTCCTTCCAATACTCCATTCTGCTGTTGCTGTACTGTGAAATCCTCAGATAAATGAGTGTGGCTGTCCGCCAATAAAATTCAGATTGGCCCGCGGGCTGTAGTTTGCAACCCGTTCCATGTGCCACGGCGAAGGAGATGTATGTGACAAAATGTTATGTTAGAAAAGCAGAATGCAAAATTAGAGATGAAATTAAGTAAACATGTGCAAGTGGGAGGGTACACGGAACCATAAAATGAAGTGGGATATGGCAGCGGGTCTGTGGATGACTATACCTATTTACACTGGAAAACCAACCAAGCAACTAACACATATGTAAAAACAGCCTGGCTCTTGGCAATCTGCCCCCTTTCATAAGTTGCCACTGACTTCTGGCGGTGTGGTTGGTCTGTCTTGTCTGCCTCTCTACCTGGTGAGCTGGCCTCCAGGCACTGATTCTCAAAGCAGCCTCGACCTGGCCAAGTCTCCAAATTAGAAGCTGGAAGATTATGACAGAAACACATGATGCTATTAATTCAAACTCTGCATTTCCACTGACCCAGGTGTTGGGTTGTGCCCTTCATAGGTCATGTACAAGGGATACTTTCTTCTGGTTGCCTCTTTTAAAGCTATTACTCCCAACTCCTTTACCTGTCTTCGCTTTTACATCTTTTATTTTTAGTTATTTGTTTTTCCAAAAGCTGGTGTGGTGTACGTGGCACTGAGATTAACCCACATTATAATATGAAATTCAATGTAACAGGCAGAAAAATCCTGCTTTGAGAAGTGGACTCCAATACGGCCACAAAGAGCCAAGCAGATCACAAAGCCGAGGCAGCAGTGAAGCATGGCACTTCCTCCGCTTGGATCAGCAGGAAGGAAGCACAGGCAACACTGTAGAACAGAAGAATCTGCAAGGCAGCAAAAGTGGGAGATGACATTCACTTCTCAGAGGACAGAGAAACTACCGAAATGAGGAAAACGTCTAAGAGCGAGAAACTACGATTAGTCAAACTAGGCTGACAATACTATCTTGGACAGCCCCAGTGCAGACCAGCAAGCCTCTGAGGATGATGTCACACTAGTCCTCTGGAACCCTCCCATTTTCAACAAAAGGATAAAATCTAAGTTCATTCATGATCCTCATGAACAAAATTTAAAACTATAAAAAAGACATCTATGGGGCCGGCCCCATGGCATAGTGGTTAAGTGCACCCGCTCCGCTGCTGGTGGCCCGGGTTTGGACCCCAGGCGCGCACCGACGCACTGCTTGTCAAGCCATGCTGTGGCGGCGTCTCATATAAAAAGTGGAGGAAGATGGGCACGGATGTTAGCCCAGGGCCAGGCTTCCTCAGCAAAAAGAGGAGGATTGGCATGGATGTTAGCACAGGGCTGACTTTCCTCTCACACACACACACACAAAAAGGCAACTATGGTGTCTCCAGCACACCAAACACCAGAGAAACACGTTAGTGTCGACCTCCAAGCAAGGGTCAAAGTCAAGCTGTTTGGAAATTTGGGAGGCCAAGAAGAGGCAGGTGAGTGAAGCACATATGATGAACAACCTGCACAGCCAATGGCTAGCACCACAGAGGGGAGAGGCGGTCCAGTGCCTGTGCCTGAAATGTTCTAGAATGCGCCAGCTCAGCCCACAGTTGGGCCTGTTACTCACTAAGTAGAAACAACATTCAACTCTTGAACAGGCCCATGACTGGGAAAGGCGACATTCCAATCAACTCTCCTACAATTTCACCCTCTGCGAAGCAGCCTCCATGAGTACGCTGGGCTACAGGGGCAGGGGTGGGGGCCGGGGGATATCCCCACAAGAGCACGTCGTGACTCTAAACTCCTCTTCAAAACAGCAGAGTGGTGGCTGAAAGCAGACTCAAGGCGTCCCTGGGACCCGCCTACGCTCTCTGGGGACAATAGGGGCTCAGGGAACAGGGCTAGGAACAGGGCTAGCACAAGAGCTTCCAGAGACGCCATAAGCCTGACATTCGAGCAACACTTTAGCCGTGACCACAGAGAACCTCACTGAGAGGGAAGGCCAAACCAGGCCTTCAACGGCAAAGAGGAGACACAGAGACATGGAGACACTCCAAGGAGCCAGGAACAGATGCATCCACGAACAACAAGGACACACACTGACTCAGGGTTTAGAGATGTAGGAGCCTGGTTACCTTGATGAAGAGGTGATGCTTACGGGGTGACCTTTTCTTCAATGATATTACTCTTCGACCTTCACTGTGAAGCTGAATTTTAAAAGATTTAGAAAGAAGAAGGTTACATCTGTCAGTAGAAGGTACCCTCAAGAAGTGGCTCCAGGAAACATGACAGCTCCCCTCATCTTGCCTCACCTTTCATAAGGTACAGAACCCAAATAATCCGGATGAGGGGAAGGAAAGCATCACCTTTCCCAAAGGGAATACAGAAAGTAACACGAAGTTAAATGTCAGTTAATGTCCCAGTTTCCAAAGCAGGGACTAGAAGACTCACCCAAGGCCCAAAGACAACCAGCCAGTGAGAGCGGACAGTGTCTTTTTTTTTTTTTTTTTTTTTTTTTTTTTTTTCCCCCCAAAGCCCCAGTGGATAGTTGTGTGTAGTAGCTGCACATCCTTCTAGTTGTTGTATGTGGGACTCGGCCTCAGGATGAACGGAGAAGTGGTGCCTCGATGCGCACCCGGGATCCGAACCCGGGCCACCAGCATCGCAGCGCGCGCACTTAACCACCAAGCCACAGGGCCGGCCCAAGAGCGGACAGTGTCTTAAACTAGAGACACATTCCACGGGTACAGTAAAGGCCAGTCCTCTGACAGTCAAGCAGCCCCAGGTAATAGGCCAAGGGGCCCTGACTTCCTGTCAGGCGCCTCGCCTCCCAGGTAAAAGAAAGCCACTTAGACATCCATCTCCATGCACTGCGGGGAGGCCTCAGCCCTCAGCCAACATTCAATGTCTACTTCTGTCCTGACAATCTAACTGTGTCAGTGTGACATGGATGCCTGGATTTAAATAACTGATCTCCTCTCAATCTCAGTAATTTTCACAGCACAAAGAAGCCAAGTGGGGACAAAAATCACACTATTTCAGATGAAAATAGCTAAAAAGCAAAAAATTTGACAGGGACCTGTTGCTTTGAGAGAACTAATGTTCTGGCTTGCCATTGATTCCACCTCACTTCCACTGAAGCAAATGACCCATAGAAGTCAAGCGCTCCAACTCTGACACTTACAGGAGAGTGGATGCAGGTACTGGAGAGAACAGAGCAAATGACACCAACTGTGCCTGATCTCTTCACAGGGCTCACGGCCGCCCCCCTCCTCCTGTCTCCAGCCCACTCTCCCTTGGGCAGCATGAGCCTTGCTGGCAGGCAGTGACCACTGGCAGAGCCAGTCCTGGGTGCTGTGCCCCAGGGGAGCCGCAGCTGCACCCACGCCAGCATCTCAGTTTCAGATTCTGTCATACAGCCCAAGTTTACTCCCTGGCAGACATGGTCAGCTTGTCCTCAGCATCCACTTAGGAGTAGAAGTCGCTCACTGATGAGGAGCTTTCAGCCTGTCAGAAACCAAAACACCTGTCCCAGTGCACAGACCATCACACTCCCACTGAAACTGCAGCAATCCCAACTCCTCGCTGCCTTTGTATTAAAACTGTGAAAATATTTAAGGATGTGGAACTAACATTCATCATATATGAAGCTTCAAACCAGGGTCCAGTGTACAGAATGACTGAATAAATAAAAATGAGCACATATGCACATCCCTGAGTGAAAATGGCACCTGCACTGCTTCAGTAACTGGTTTGTGAACTGTGCGTGGCAAAAGCTGGAGACACACATGCTGGGCAGCCTGAGGCCCAAGGCCCTTCCCCAGCTCTCCACATTGCTCTCTGGGATTTTGTGAGTTCTCCCAGACTCCATTCTGGGCATGTCTCACCAGGGAGGCGGCAGAGCTGAGCTAAGCTGGTGCATCCACTATCCTCCCTGGGGTCACAATGCCCTCCCCCCAACGATTCCCACACCTCTGTGCTGTCTGAGGACCTGGGGCAATGAGCTAGACACAAGAGGAATAGAGAGGTCTTCTCCTATGTATTCAGTAATACAGATCAGTCCTCACGTTACTCCCACCCCTCATCAAGCCTTGCACAGGTGAGAGATGTGACAGAGACCCTTCCCTCCACCAGCCTAACACTCAATGGAGGAGCAGAGGCATGCCCAGGGCTCAGATGCTCACAGGCCTAAAACCTCATAAGAAGATGAGAAAGAGACTCCCACTGAGAATTCACCAAAAAACAATAGGGCCCAAAGTCTTCAGCAGCCCAGAAAAGGAAATAAGAGGAGGACCTAGTGGAGGGCGGCAGTGAGAGCTGCTGCAGAAAGATAGTGATACTTCATATCCGCACCACATCTCCACATGTCTGATCAAAATATAATGTGGCCACTCAAGCACTCTGAAATTTTCCAGTAGCCACATTAATGCAAAAAGGTGAACTAACAGTATATTTCACTGAATATATAACAGTATATTTCATTGAACCCAATATAGACAAAATATCATTTCAACATGTAATCACCATGAAAAACTGAGACGTTTTACATTTCTTTTCACAGTAAATGTCTGAAATCCAAGTGTGTACTCCACACTTATAGCACATATCAATTTAGGACCTAAGTTTTCATCCAAAATATTTGATCTTTATTTAGATTCTATAAAATTTACAGTTGAAAAAGTAGATTCACACACCCAAGGTGTTCCAACATACTTGAGTTCTTCAATAACTAAAGTTAGCATCAATTTTATAATTTAAATTAATTATAATTCAATAAAATCTAAAAATTCAGTTCCTCAGTCACACTAGCCACATTTTGATGCTCAAGAGCCCCAAGAGGCTAATGCTGACGTTATTGTAAAGATCTAGAAGTTTCTCCTCTAGAAGCTTGAAAGCCAGAGTAAGCACTTCAAGAACTCAGCTCCAGGGCTGCAGGGACCTGCTATACATTCAGGGTTGGTTTGATCCTAGTCAGTCCACAACCACCACCACCTTCATTACCCAGAGACCCACCTGTGCTTTAAATCAACTTGCTTTATATAAACAAATAAATTTATTTAAAAGAAAGAATTAACATTATCACATGTGATGTGTGAACCCGTTTGAATGGGAGAGACAGACATTTTGGGAGACAACATGGGAAACCTTAATATGGAATGCAATTATTGTTGATTTTCCCATATGTAACAATGTTTAGTGTGGTTTTATAGGACAGTGCCCTTGTTTTTTAAAAGAAACAGAACAAAAACCTTAATAATCTTTTTTATTATCTTTTTATTGTGGTAAAATATATATAAAATTTACCATTTTAACCATTTTTAAATGTACGGTAAAGTGGCATTAAGTATATCCCCATTGTTATGCAACCATCACCACTGTCCATTTCCAGAACCTTTTCCATCTTCCCCAAGTGAAACTCTGTCTGCATTAAACACAAACTCCTCCTCCCAGTCACTGG